CCTCTGAGTGATGTCCCTGAGAACACAAGGAGCAGTTTCAGGACTCCTTTTTTCCCCCCAACCCCTCCTCCTCTCCACCTCCACTGCCCATTATCCCTCTCTCCTTTTTTTCCTTTTTCTTTTGGGGGGGTCCCTGTGAATGCCTCTGGTGCAATGGATGCTTCACAGCACCGACTCCGGCCCTGTTCCCTCTTTCAGGACTGGCTTCTTTCTGAAAGGAGGTGGTGGGTGGTGGTGGTGGGGAGGCTTTCCCAGCTCCTTGTCTCCCCACTCTCCATGAGAAGCTGAGTCTGGCTCAGGCAGGAGGGATKGGGAAGACGGGGCCTTTTGCTGGGGAGATGCACGAGGACAAAAGGGGGACAATGTAAAGTTGAGAGTGTGAAAACCTTGAGAACCAAGCGTATTTAAAAGGTACACAAAGACCTGAAGAAAAACGAGTCAAAGTGATTTTATCCCATGAGATGTTTTTTTAAAATTTGCCTTATTGTCACGCTCCAAATGTTGCCTCATTTTCTCTCAAGTTCAAGATGTTTGTCACTCCCGATGTCAGGGATTGTGATGATAATGTAACTTGTCAATGATCCCTGAGTTGCTTACACAACTCCCACTAATGACCAAACCGGGCTCTCGGCACTTCATCATTTTGTGAACAGCTCCTTGCTAATTGGTTTGCTTTGACTGTCATGGATGATGTTAGTTAGCTCTCCATCGAGAGGTAACAGCAGGACTAATAGGGCAGACAGCTGGCGGGTGGCTGCAGAGACAGAAAGGACAGCCTGAGCACCACAAAGCAGGAGGGAGTTCCTGGAGGAAAAGGGTGCCAGGTGGTCAGGGGTGGGGGGGATAGGAAACAAAGGAAGACCCTTAATGCCATATGATGCTCGGAGTTCCCATCGTGTACACATGGCTGTGGTTAGATTCTCACGCTCAGCTGATGAACATTTGAGACGCCTGGGTCATTTTTACACCAGGTAAGAAAAAAAAAAAAACAAGAAGCCTGTTTTCAACTTTTAGTTCTATTCAAATAAAGTTGAATTCTGTTATATGAGTTTAGATCGGTACATTATCTTTTGTTAAATGTTCCTAATCTTTGAGCTTTCAGAACATAAATGTATTTTTTTTCCCTCAAATAATATTTTTTTCTGAACTGAAACATTTTAGCCCAAAGATCCAAATCCTAGATAAAGTCATGCTTTGTGATCTGATTTAGGAATCTGAAAAGAAAATATTATTCCCGTCAGTGCCAGGGCAGCTGGAACTGCACCCCTCAGGGTGGCGTGCCCCGCATTGTTCTCTCAGGAGTACAGTAATTAGCCAGTGAGTGCTTGGATGCTTTAGGTATAAAACACTTGGCACTGAAGCTGAGTTAATGAATCGGCTTCAGAGGGAATAATGAAGGACAAGTGGTCAGTTTTGGCACGGACTCAAAGCCTCGTCCTTCACCTCGCAGCTCCTTGGCTGCAGAGGCTTCGGTGTTCCCGTGAGCTGTTTTTACACGTGGTTTTATCCTGGAAGGAAAAGGGGTTGAAAAGCTTTAAATGTCCGGTACAGAAGGTGGAAGGAGTCGGGGCGGAGGGAGGGAACGTGGTGCCCTTTCTTCCTGTGGAGCTGGAGTCAGCCAGCCAGGCACCAGGTCCAGCTCAGACAGGGCCGTACCAGTCCTTCCTGTGGTCTGGAAGGTAGCCCCTCCCTTCTACAGCTTAGCTGTCATCTTCTTCCTCTCCTGACCTCATACCCTCGCTTCTTATCTCTACTTTACACACAATCAACATTTTCCTTTTCTTTTTTTTTTTCTTTTTTGTTTTGGTTTGAATTTGTAGTCCAGGACAGTAGCCGTGCTTTCAGATTCAGTTGAAAAACAATGAAAGAAAAGAAGAAAAAAATCCCAGGGAGCTCCCCCCCCCCCCCCCCCCCCCTTTACTTAACTCCTGCAGCTGTATGCAAATGCCGCCAAACATGCTCAGAATTTACCCAGTGGAGGCTTTACCCAGCTTGAAAGCTCACAGCTTTGTTCTATTCAAGAGCCTCTGGCTGCGTTTGAGGCGAGGGGGGGCAGGATGGGGAGGAAGATGGGGTGAATGGCCACACACGGTGGGTGGGGAGATTCCTGCCCGCTCCCCGTTTCTGTCAGTCCCCCGGCAGCTCGGGCAGCTGCCTCCGTGATTAGGTCGTTCATTCAGTGAGCTTTAAAGCAAACAGTGCTCACCTGGGATCCCCTCAGCAGCAGAACCGCCACCCTGCCTCGAACAAATACAGGCCCGCGGCTTCGGCATCGTTCAAAACATCTGCTTCGAAATGGTTCCGGGGAGGCTCAGCTCCGTCCTCATCTCTCACCTCAAACTGCAGGAATGAGGGCTGCAACCGACGGGTGGGGGGGSGCCACCACCGAGCGTGCCGGGACACGTGGCCTCGGCGGGGCGGCGTGAAGGTGGGCAGGTGCTGCCTCACCTGAGGCGAAGAGTAAACAGACCGCTGGCGGTTAAAAAAAAAAGTCTGCCGGCCCTTTTCATCCTCCCTCGTTCAGCACCTGCTCGCCGTGCGTCGTGATAAAAAGAGGCGCGATCTTCGCCTCCTTTTTAAAAGCCCTGTTTAGTTTTTGTTTGCCTCCTTTTATGACTGATTGCAACAGTCAGAGGTCTTGTGGTTGAACTCCTCAGACACTGTGCTGTCTTTCAAACAGCACTGCGGGCAAAGAGGCTTGAGAGGGCGGTTTGTCACAAGTGTCRCCTGCGACTGATTTAGCGTTTTAGCCGAGTAAACACGTTGAGATCCTGCAGCAGGCCCTGCAGGGCCAAGGGCCTCAGCCAGAAGACGTGATATACACGAATGGAGCGTGGGAGGCGGACAGTCTGCCTCCTCCTTCGTCGGGTTGTCTGGGATGCTTCGGGGCGGTTGCGTAGTTGCCATGGAGAGAGAAAAACTCAGGACAAAGGGCTTTTATTAGAGCAGGGGGGCWGTTTAACTCAACATGTTTCCCACTTGATAAAAGGCACGATGATTGATGCTAATCACAGCAGCAGGACGGGAGGAAGACTCACTTTATTTGGCAGCATCACATGATCAGCCAAAGTATTTTATATATTTTGTTTGTTTTAGTTTTAGAGATCAAATCGTCTCACCTGTGATTCTGTTTGTTTGCAGACATACATCTTCACAGATGGAGAGGATGAGGAGCTCAAAAAGAAAATTGGTAAGTTTTATGTTCTAGAAACAGAGATGCACTTTAATTAGAAATGAACCAAATATGGAAAACTAATCACATTTTAAAAGCTAAAACATCCTTGTCCTTACTGCCTTTGGACATGGGGAATAAATACACAGACCAGGGCTGWTCAACTAAATCACTTCGKGGGGGCCACAGTTACAGCTCAGGGGCTGAACATCCAGCAATTGAAGTTATTCTGTAAATAAACCAAGTATTAYAAAGATCTGTTACCTTTGAAATTGTTTATTTTGCTGCATTTAATCATGAATACAACATACAGAAGAACCCTTTGTAATAAAAGTAGTGATAATAAAACAATATCAAAAACAAAAATAACACATTCTGCCTCCTATTGGACACAAATATTATTTTGACATCTCTGACTTTCCAAATTTTTAAACAATTTTATTTTCACTTCCATAATATTATCTTCAACTGCTTGTAGTTTTAACTGTATTGAGTGTTCATAGAAATGTTTTTACCAGCTTGTAGCCAAGATTCTGACGTTTCTGTAGATACCAAACATGTCTATGTTTAACTAAAAGAACTCGTAGTAATTAAAGTAGAAAACCGGGGGGTTTGGGCTTCAGAGATGAATGAACCAATTGGCAGGCCGGATGTGGCCCGCGGGCCACCAGTTGAATAGCCCTGACATAGACCTTCTTTTGATGATGCAATATTAATTTATTTGTTTTCCTGCCGCCTCAGGAAGTCATGCAGTCAACACCAACTGCTCCGCAGCTCACAGCCGGCAAGCTCTGTCCTGCAAGATGGCGGTGGAGTACGACAAGTTCATCGAATCTGGGAAAAAGTGAGCGTCGCTTCCTAAACGCGGATYTATGCGTCGGAATTTCTGTGCATCCTGAACGCTGTGTCTTCGTCTTTTGCAGGTGGTTCTGTCACGTCGATGATGACAACTATGTCAACATTCGAACTCTGGTGAAGCTCTTGTCTCAGTACCCCCACACTCAGGACCTGTACATCGGTAAGCCCAGCCTGGACCGGCCCATCGAGGCTACAGAGAGGCTGGCGGACAATAAGATGGTGCGTTTAGGAACCTCGCTTTCATGGTTATGTAATCTGAGTGTTGGATAACACAAAACATCACTAATTGTTATTTTTCTCCTACAGAAACCAGTAAACTTCTGGTTTGCCACAGGAGGAGCGGGTTTTTGCGTGAGCCGGGGTCTGGCAYTAAAGATGAGCCCATGGGCCAGGTAATAGACCAAACAAACCCCAATCTGAAAAATGCAACACAAAGCCATGTATTTGGACCTTTAACCAATCCATATGAAAAAAAAAAAATCATTTTAGCGGCGGTCACTTCATGAACACGGCGGAGAAGATTCGACTGCCTGACGACTGCACCATCGGTTACATCATCGAGTCGGTTCTGAGGGTCCCGCTCACCCGCAGCAACCTGTTCCACTCCCACCTGGAAAACCTGCAACAGGTGTCCAGACCTGAGGTCCACAAGCAGGTGAGAGCCGTACACACCACCTCCTGAGGTTCTCAGTCAGGATGGATTGGTGTTTTTATATGTGTTTGTAATGTTTTACCTCCTTTTTTTTGCCTCCAGATCACCCTCAGTTATGGGATGTTTGAAAACAAAAGCAATATCATCAACTTGAAAGGGGCTTTTTCTGTGGAAGAGGATCCATCAAGGTAAACAAAAAAAGAAAAGTTTCTGCTTTTTTTCACTGCAGATTTAAGCCCTCTTTCCGCTCATCGAACCTGTTGTTGTGTCTTCCAGGTTCAGGTCTGTTCACTGTCTCCTGTATCCAGACACCCCTTGGTGCCCCCCACAGGTTGCCTTCTAAGGGCGACCGCTCCTTTTCTCATCCTCGTCCCCCGCCGTGCCTCGGTATCTGAAAGGCTCGTGGGGACCAGTGTTTGGTTATTGGACCGTGTCGCTGCCGTGTTCTTGCTGCAGCAGCAGGTCTTTAATGGTTTTACTAGGCTGCTGTGCGGCCCACCTTTTGGACTTGTCCTTCCTCTCCGGAGCCAGAAACTTTGTCCCGTAACGCTCGGGAGGAGGAGTTCATCAGCTCCGGGAAGGAAGTAGCTTTCACCGTTTAAGCTTTGCAGGCAATCATTTGAGCTTTTTTTTTAATGTATATGTTGCTTGTAAATGTATCAACAATTCTCATAGAATGTATTGTCTAATATTCAAGCCCTTTGCCAGCTTTACATTCATTCCTTTAGTACCTTTCCTGATTGGCTTTGAGGATTTTATTTTCAGAAACCTTTGCGTCTAAGTCTTCTAACACAACTGACTCCGGATAAATGCTCTAATATGAAGATGATGTTGTACTTTTAGGTGAACAGTGTTATTTCTCCCTCAACCTGAGCTGATTATTGGCAGATTTCCAAAAAGCATTGTTTGGAGACCTAATCTGAGGTATATCAGGATAAAGCACTTTTAAAGATTTTTATGCCTAACTGGCCTAGTTTATGTCCTTTCATGACATACTTCAGATTTGTGTCCAAATAGCCCCCTGAAAATCCAATTTTCTAATTATGCATAAAAGTTCCTTGTTTTTGTTTCAATCAGGGAAACACAATGATTTGAAGAGATTTGGTTTTGAAAGGGGGTTCAGTCAGCTTTGAATATATATATATTAAAAAAAATTGCACAGCTGTTTCAAATAACCTGATGTCTTCCTCTCACCTCTAAAGACACAACAGTGAAAAAAAAAAGTATTTAAACAATTGATATTTGAAGACAAAAAATACAAAAAAAAAGGAAAGAAATAATTAGTTTTTGTGGCTTTGGAGCAACTTTGTAATCCAAGCCACAGTTCGCACAGAAGACTGATGAGTCTGTGTTTTCATCAACGTTTCTTCCTCTTTTTTATATAAATCTCGTCACTGTTGAGGCCTGAGAGGTGAGAGCAGCGTCGGCGTTTCCACACGGAGGGGGTGGTTGTTCCTTCTGTGTCCTATTTCACCCATATTGGGTTATTTATCTTCACGGCAGTATTGTGTACTGCACCTTTTGTTCAAACGTGTAGTGACTGTGTAGGATGTAATTATCTCGTCGTGGAGCACACTTCGTTTTTTTTTTTTTTTTTAATGTTCGGACCAAGATTTCTTTTGTGCAGAACTGTGTTTATTCTCCGGTATCTGGAGGGTCTGAACAGTTCCGTCCCAAGTCTGACTCCTCAGGGATTATATGAGCGGATCCTGGTTTTAACTACCACAAGGCCCATGCTGGGACCTTAAACTCTGAATAAAAGTGCATAACCACTATGAAACCTGTGTAGTTGCTTGTGTTTTATTTGTGTTTCATCATTTAAATAAGTTCCTTATGAAGTCTGTTCCTTTAAGGCAGGGGTGTCAAACTCATTTTCACTGAGGGCCACACGAGCGTCATGGTGCCCCTCGAAGGGCCAGTTGTAATGAACTTTGATGTTTCATGTTTAACTTTTACTAAATAGAGTTTTAACACGTCCTCTTTTAAACACTGATAAGAACTAAGTGTACGACTGACTAAATCTGAAATAAATACAGAAATATTATTTAGTTTATGGTTGATGCTGACTTTAAGCTGCTTATTTTCAGACATTAATACTGTGCTATCCAACTAAATTGCTCAGTTACTTAAAGCCAACAGCTCAGGGACAGGAATTTATTTTTATTTATTTATTTCATTTATTTTTATTAAATTTATTTTGTTGCATTTAATCATAAATTTAAAGTTTACCATTGATAAAAGAAACAAATTTCATGCTAAGTAAAAAAAAATTTTTTTTGGAGGGGGGCTACCCCCCTTGGCGGGCCACATGGGAGTCACCCGCAGGCCACATTTGGCCCGCGGGCCTTGTGTTTGACATCTTTAAGGAATGCACATCAGCCGGGCCAGCTCATTTTGTGTTGAAGTTTTAAATTCATTTTATGTTGAAAGTATAAAATTATAGCTTTTTTTTTTGTGTGTGCTTGCTCTCACACAATATCATGCAATAAATTCACCCACTAAAATTGTGAGATAAACGACCAAATCTATGCTCTAAAAATGTAAAACTCACTCACCTGTAGACATTTTTGCCGGATCAAATCCAAGCCTGGGGGAGTTTGCATGTTCTCTCCGTGCGTGCGTGGGTTCTCTCCGGTCACGACGGCTTCCTCCCACAGACCAAAAACATGACTGTTAGGTTAACTGTCCCTGGGTGTGATATGGTTGTTTGTCTCTATGTGTCCCCATGACGAACTTGTGACCTGCCCAAGGTGTACCCTGCCCTTCACACCAGTGACCCTGAAAAGACGCGGGTATAGATAATGGATGGATGGATAGACGTTTGACATATTTTGCTAACAAACACAACCTTTATTGTTTTTTCTTTGCCTGCTCTGAATTCACTACTTGTCTTCTTTTGCAATATTATTTATTTTTTAACATATATTCTTAAACAAAACAGTATCATTAACAACTGATATATTTATTTTTTTTATCAGCTGCTAAACTATCCTCTTACAGCTCTTTAATAAGTAGATAACATGGCTGCGTTCACATGTCGTAGGAACAAGAGTTTATTCTAAAGTTGATGAAACATTAGACATTAAGTTGTTAGTAGCTGCCCTAAAGAGATATTTTCTATTCAAACGTCTGCTATAAACATATAAACATCAATCATGATCCAATATTCTGCGAGAACGATTAAAGATAAACCTCTCAAACAAATAGTTCTCGCAGGAAGTTGCAAGTTTTCCCAGAACCCTCTGAGTCCGTGAACCTAAACATTGACAGTGCACGAGCGTGTAAGAGCAGTAGTGCCTGCAGGGCTGGGCAAAATCCTGGAAAACACATGCCTCTGGTTTAAAAGAATCAGGAAAACAAGAGCTGAAAATTAGGAGCTGTGATGATTTTAGTCACTGATCGTTCTAAAATAGAAAATAAAGCCATTTACATTATTATTTCTATTTTGTGACGCTACATAACGGACAAAATGACAAAATGTCTGTCGTTAAATATACATTACCTATGTAAAAATGAAGGTTGAAGAATTTGATGACTAAACTCTGATGCAAAACTGAAGATTTATCATCAAAGCTTTGCATGGGAGACAAATTACTCACAGCAAACATCCTCACCACAAACCATAATCACAGCTTTGTTTTCCGCAGATGTRTAGTGGGAAAAAACTGCAGCCTTTCAAGTGTCTACAGCTCATGCTGAAACAGAGCATCACTTCTCTGCACCCCTCCCTTTCTGCGTTGACTCATAAAATGCTTCCTATGATGAAGAATCGTTTCAGATTGTGACGTATCAAACAGAACGACCGCTACCGCTTTATTAGAAGCTTTACAGCATTCCCCCCCCTCCCTTGTGGAAAATTGGTTTTATTAAGAAGGAAAAGGGAAAAGTGTCCTCTGGCACCAACGTCATGGGAAAACAAAGCATGTGGCTTAAATATGAAACTCTTGTATTAAATGTCTGACATGCTTTGGTTGTAAAAACAGTAATCAGATAAGCAGCGGTTAAAAGTTTCGCCCAGAGTTTCGGGAACAAAACACAAGATTTAAAAATTGCCTCAGACGTTTTGCTCAGACTAGTTTGTAATCCCTCAACACCAGTAATCCGTCAAACACAAAAACATCAGCGAGCAGCTTTAGATGAATAACAGTCGTTACATGTGATTATTGCCCCTTTAAGTGGTTTTCCTCTGTTTATCTTCCCTTAACATTTGCTATTACAATTAGAGTAAGTCTGTTCCCATACTGGCTGCAGGAGGACACAGACTGAATTTTTAAAGTGACTGATGTGCACGTCCTTCAAATACAAAAATGTCAAAGAAACCATCTTTATATCTAAGGAACTTGGCATAATACACGTGATTTTACATGTTTTGTCACACAAGTGGCATATTTTCTTTTGAACTTGGCTCACCAAAAAGAAACTGGAAGTGACATCAAAGGGGAACTCCAGGGAAGCCTGTTAGCCTTTGCGCTAGCGCCGACGCTATATTGCCTTATTAGCTGTGCTAGTGTGACAAACTAACAAGATAAACTGAGGTCCTCCAGCCATATTTTCAGTTGCAGGCTGAGTCCTTTTTGTGCTCCCCTCTCTGTCATGTGGATGGAGGACCTCAGTGACGAGAGGAGACTGTGTAGCGCTGAGCTAATACACATATGGTGATAGCGTCGGGGCAAATGCTAAAGCTAACAGGCTAAGCTGGGGTTCTTCTTCCATGAAGCAGCTCTGTTGTCCTCCATCCATATTTTCAGTTCCAGGCTGAGTCATTTCTACCTTCTCCTCTCTGTCAACGCTCTCTGGTTTCATTTAAAAGAGTCGATCATCAGATATTGTCCAAGATTAACCTTCAGGGTGGATATAGCTCGCTAGCAGCCTCGCACTGAGGACCTATCCACGTCATCATTTACCCAGAATGCTTTGTGTGTAAATAAAATGGCCTCGTCCGTGTTTTGTATTTTTAAACCTTTAGTTTAAAAATTATAAAAACTAAACAGCCTGCAGGATTTTTACAGTCTTTATTTTACAGTTAAAATATATGTTTATTAAATAAAGTCTAATGTTACAACTAATCGTGGATCCCTTTAAATGTTGCTTTGCATTTAAATATATGGTGACAGGTCGATGAAGTTAAACGACATGAACGTCCATCTGCAGACGTTCCATGCTGCTGCTCAACCACCTGCCTGCCAGCAAACTGTGGTGAAACCTAATGGGGTGGGGTGGGGTGGGGGTGGGGGGTGCCGTGGCTGATTTCCATTCGCTGATAAAGGATCCAGAAACCCAGAAATGTCTAAAGGGTTCTGTTGACAAAACACTCAGTTTGCCTCCACCCACTCGGGGGTTTTCCATTTTACTCCCAGTGAGAGCTGCTGCTGGGCTGTCAGTCAAATATGTGTGACTTTGTAATGTGAAAGTTGACATTTTCCACCCAGAGCTTTGATAAGAGCTGTGAAGAAGCACACGCAGGCAACAATACGAAGTGACTGACAGAAATGTGTTTCACTTTCACTGATAAATTCCTGTTTTCTTTTATATTTTTCCTGTTTGTTGTTGGAAGTTTTGTGTCTGGTCATTGTTTGACATGTCGTTGTTAGGGTTAGGGTTAGCGTGGTCTCCATCAGTATTTGTCAGCTTTTTCAAACAATATCACAAAGTAAAGAGATGAAAACCTTTGAGTCAGATTTAAAAGGAAATGTCTCACAGCGGCTCTCGACTCCGGCTGTCAGTTATAACATGAGCAACAGATAAACTTTCCATGTTTTTGTGTTTGGTTTCTCCCCGATGAGCTGACAACTGATTCATATCTCGGAGCTCAAACTGAGACACTCATACGGGCTCCAACAACAAACAGGAAAACTATAAAAGAAAACAGTAATTTATCAGTGAAAGTGACACGAAGGCAGAAACATACTGGCGTTTGTGAGCAGAATCTTTGGGAAAAAGAGCTGCGAAACTGTGGCAAAGTGGAACAAGAAAATGCTTTGAGGACAAACATATACAAAGAGACAAAAGAAGGAAAAAGTGAGGCAAACGGACAAGAAAACACGTCAAAAAGAGAGAAATGAAAAGGCGGAAAACAACTACAAGATGGCAAAAAATGACCACATTTTACAACACAAACCAGACTCAAAACAAAAAAAAAAACAACAAACTAGAAACATGCGAAGTAATCAAGCATTCACAACCACACACAAAACGAAAATGATGCAAAACAACCATATTAAAGCAACAATTTAGTCAAAAACTCTGCAAATGTGCTTTCCAAGCTCGGATGTCAGTTTGTTTTATTTTCTAATTGATATAAAAGTTCAGTTCGTTTATTCATGAAGCAGATTTCYAACCTTCTTTGAGCCATGATGAAAAACAAGATGATGAATTTCTGTCAGTCACTTCATATTGTTGCCTGCRTGTGCTTCTTCACAGCTCTTATCAAAGCTCTGCGTGGAAAATGTCAACATTCACATGACAAAGTCACACATATTTGACTGACAACAACCCAGCAGCAGCTCTCACTGGGAGTAAAATGGGAAGCCCCTTATGACTGGGAGGAGGAAGCATGTGTGGATGGATGCCACGTTATTCAGAGTGCTGGGGGGATTACAGGGACGTGGGCCACTGGCACATTGTCTACATATCTTTCCTTTGCTGTATCAGTCAGTCTCCAATTAACAGCCTGCATTGTCTGCAGGATTAGAAGCGGTGGGACAAGCCCCTCTGGACAGATCTCACAACAGCTGGCAGCCGACTTAATCCTGCTCTGCTTGTGTGAAAAAGGCCATAATCCAGGTATCATGTATCACCACAATGAAAGAACTTGAACTCTGAAAGCGGCACTTCGACAGAGGACCTGAGGAACGTGAGGTGGGGTGAGGGCAACTGGGCTTTTAAAATTTAAAAAGACAGACTGCAGGAAGTTTTGTGCTGATTCTAAACGCAGTCAGCTGACTTTGATGATTACTTTGTACAAAAAAGAAAGAATTTACAGTAAAACGCAAGCAGCTGTGTTTGGCGGAGCATCATAAAAACAAAGTGTGGCGATGTGGGACACGGGATTCACACACAGGATGTAGACAATACGCAGCCATTTTAACGCCAAAAGTTAATCAGTTGTAGAGAATAAACATTTTATTATTTGAGGGCTGCTACCTTGACCTGAACACTCTTACCATAAAAGCTGTGCTGGCTTTCTTTTTTATTAGGCCTGTTTCTTTCTACAGCAGAAACAGTCTGCCTCACCTGAAAACATTGAGGAGTGAAAAGAAAAAAGTGAAAAAAAAGAGAAACATGCAGGTCTACGGAAGATTAGGGCCACTGAAAAGATAAAAAAAAAAAGGAATTCTGACTTTAATCTCAGAATTCTGAGAAAAAACGTCAGAATTCTGAGATTAAAGTCAGAATTCCTTTTATATTTTTTCAGTGGCCCTAATCCTCTTCCGTACAGGTCTTTAGGTTTGGACACAAATGGAAACTATATGTAACCAGAAAGGCAGGAACAGTAAATATTTACAGACTTTCTGGAGACAAAATCCACAATTGTAGACTTTTTTATTTTTTGCTGAAACTTGAAAACCCGCACACCTAAACAGTTTATACTCAGATACATCAGCTCATGTTTGTTTGGCAGCAGAGCTTTATTTAAAGGAGCAAATAAACCAGAGTTGGGGTCCTCGGTCAAATGGGACAGAGCTGGTTTTGTGTCCAGGCTGATAGAAGCGGCCAGTTTTAAACTGGAAGTGCCTGACGAGGATTTGTCTCACCAGTTGAGTCTTCATCGCAGCTGCTCCTCGGAGAGGGCAGAGAAGAAGGAGAGCCATGGTCCAATTAGTTGGCAGAAAGCCCAGCCACACTCAGGAAGTGTCCATCGGAGGGGATGGAGGGGGGTTTTTGGAGGGCCCGGAGCCCTCCCCTCCTCCTTCCTCCCTCATTCAGCTCCTCACCTCAAAGCATTAGTGATGCATTCCTCCACTCCAGCAACAAGCAGCCTAATTCAATTTCCTCGACAGTGAGGCCGTGTGAAATTTCATTTGCGTCTTTAGCTCCCTCTGTTCCTGTAAGAACCTCCGGGCCTTCGTCATGCTTTGTTTGTTTACGGCTTTGTTTGATGGAGCTGATGGAGTTGGGCTGCAATAAACAGCAGGAGATCAGGAGAGTATGTAATCTATACACACAACTTCTGATACTGTAAACATCTAATGTCAAACAAAAAAGGGTCACTTGTGTTCAAATGTTTGTCAGTTCGAATTGTTTTAATTACTCTGTGCATGTGGGGGAAAACAAAGCCTGAGACACGAGCTTTTAAACAGAAAGAAGCTCAAACTCGTCTTGTTGTGTTCAGTTTTCTGACAAAACCGTTTTAATCCCAAAACTTGCGCATTAAAAAAAGGGGGTTTTGGCGGGGAGAACAGCAGCTGGCTGGCGGCAAAAAGGAAGTGACTGAAAGCAGACTGTCCCGACGGCGACACTGACCTCCCGCCTGCTGTCGGCTCAGAGAGGTCAGCATCACAAACCGGGCTTTCTTTCATTGGCCTGCTGTTTGTCACTGCAGACACAAATACCAACAGACACCCAGGTCGCTCTCTGGAACACAAACGCAACATGAACTACACAACAACATGTACAAGTCTTAACCACTAAGTTGAAACAGAAATTATACGTTTATTCAAAAATTAGATCCAATCTGACATCTTCTGTTTCAAATATCTATCTTCATGCCATTATACTCTCAACCATGTCGTACTGTTTACCTGTTTGGTCTCTTACAACAAATGAAATCTTAGTGGTAAGAGGAAAGGCGGAGGACTGGCAATATTTGTAAATAACAGATGGTGCAATTCTGGGCACATCACTATTAAAGAGAAAATCTGCTGTAAAGAYATTGAACTGCTAGCCRTTAGTATGAGACCTTACTATCTACCACGGGAATTCTCGCATGCTATCGTGATAGCTGCGTACGTCACTCCCTCTGCTAATGCGGATACTGCCTGTGATATCCTACACTCAGCTGTGAGCAGGATCCAGAGCCAGCACCCACAGGCACTCCTTCTGATCTCAGGGGATTTCAACCAGTCTTCTCCATCCTCAACGCTGTCTGTTTTCACCCAGTATGTCACTTGTCACACCAGAGAAAATAAAATACTGGATTTGTTTTATGCCAATACCAAGGAGGCATATAAGTCATTACCCCTTCCTCCCTTGGGAAGATCTGATCACAACCTGGTCCATCTTTTGCCTGTGTACAAACCACTTGTACACAGAGAACCAGCCGTCATACGCACAGTGAAGAAATGGAGTGCAGAGACTGAGGAGGCTTTGAAAGACTGTTTCAGCACAACTTTGTGGGAGGAGATGTGTGATTCTTATGGAGAAGATATTGATGGACTCACACACTTCATAACAGATTATGTCAATTTCTGTGTGGAGAATACCGTACCCACAAGGGTGTTTCTCCAACAATAAACCCTGGATTAATCCTGATATAAAGGCCCTCTTGAAGGAGAAGAAGAGGGC